TTCAGAGTAATATGTTGACAAGGACCTTGAATTCTTTTTTCATTCCCCGGAGATTGGAAATGGCATTGGTTGTCACTACAGTTTAACATTCAGCAAACGTTCAAAATCTCAGTTCAGTGCCAAAAGGATATATGTAAGTCACGAGGAGAAAAATTCAAAGAAATTTTGAAGAGCTGTGATTTCCATCATGTGTCTAATTCAACTCCCCGGTGAATCAACATGTGCTGCACCTACCCCATACATCATCAATGTGACGGGAAAATGACTTTTGACAGAAAAATCATCTTTCATTTCCGTAATAATTATTCAAGCTTTAGTATCTTGCATGAAGTTCCTCACAGCAAAACTATGTCAGGTCAAAACTACCCCCATGGAAACTACCCCGAACGGACACTGAACACTGTGCCAACCAATTTGTCAAACAGCGAGTGCTTTCAAGTCAAAATTCAATTTGTGACTTTTTGACTGACTTTTAGTCCTCTTGGCCTTTTCAGCCGAGTCGAGCATGAAGGGACTTCCAGCCTCAGCCTGTGATAATGGGAAAGTGATCCGTCTGCTGGCGAAGCAACTCGCATCCAGAAAAAGAGGGTGCAGCGGTCTCTAATGAGGCTTTAACAGATTGAGTTCAAGAGGATAAAATGTAAACAAACATAGGAATGTTGTGCCGCAAAGCCATCAATCCCAGATGGTAGCCATTATGTATTCCTGTCGTTCAAGTTATAGTTCCCATTAAAATTGAGAGGGGAGATGTGGTACGCGCACCAAGTAAAATGGAAGGACGTACATTATAAACTGTTGCTGCTGCTGCGAATAATTCCCAACCGTGCCCCAAATATCATCACATTTGTTGCTCCAGTTGCTGCAATGGATGTTGTTAAAATAGTGGTGTTTTTTCACATGATGTTCAAATACAAAATCTTGTTTAGAAAATTGTTTCCAAACTTTTACAACTTGTAATGTCAGCTGGATATGACCTTTCTGAAAGCCACTGTTTATTTTCATTTCCTTTTCAGAAACATGACACTGAAACATGATCAGGAGTTGGCGCATTCTAAATGTTATGAATCTGCTATGTGGGTTTATAGCACCTCAGAGCAGGACACTGGCTAGGAATGTAGGGTTTTTACATTTTGATTGCTCTCTAAATACCAAATAGTGAAACTAGGGAGCAGACGATTTAGAGCAAAAATCACTCCAATTTTTGGCCTGAAATACTCTGAGAAAAAAACACCAAATCCAGTGGAAACTGGTCCAGTAATGGTCCAGCCTATTTTTGGCTGGACCATTACGTCTGCCTTTCTTTTCTTTTATATTTGGACTACCGGTATATTGTTGTGAATTTTTACAAAAAAAATGTTTTTATGTTGTAACATTCTTGCAATTTGGCCTGAGGGCCACGAGAAAATAAACCAATATAATAATAAACTCGAGTGAAAAGCTGATCTATTCGATTGAAGCATTTTCAATCTTAAACGTTTGGTTCCTAGTTTCAGTGGGGTTGGGGGAGGGGGAAGGGTTAAACTGTCACTAAAAATGAATAAATTTTAATTCTTTAGAAATAAGATGACACCCCTCTTCATTGCATCAGATAAAGTAGTTGCTGCTACGAACGCTTATGTAAACTTTAGGTAAGTCATTTTATTTCATTTAAGTAAGTCTTTTTCTTTCATTCAAGTACCGGTAAGTCATTTAAAGTGCTACCTTCCTTTTTCATATTGGAAATAAGAGAGTGGGTCAGTACACAATCAAGTACACTCCAGGAACTGTTATTAAATAATTCTGATAAAAAAGTCCTGTGTCTTTCCAGACAACTTGACAACCAATTTGCCACCTTGAGGGTCACAGGTCAAGTCAGTCAAGAAGACTCTAGTCACAACATGTGATCTCCCACACCCTCTGCCACCCCCCCCCCCTCAAGTTTGTCCAAATGGATTGTTATCACTTGTTTAATTGGCCAAGTAAGCGTATTTTGATACCTGAAACCCAAACAAACAGCTTTGTGGAGGGCGTCTCCTTGACCTAGATGGGTGACCTGGGTGATGTAGATGATGTAGTCTAGTCAAAAGGTCTGCAAGGATGATAATTTCCAGTTTTAAAGGGGCTATTTTTTACAAAATCTGTCATCTTTTTAAAGATGTGGCGGCCATGACATTTTCAACTTTCGCCCCGGGCAGTAGAATTTTTAAACATTGTTTTTTTTTCTAGCAATACCAAAAGTCACGCACTGTTGAATGCAAAATCACATGAAACATTGATCAAAGTTTATAACTAGTTTATAACAATAACTTTAAAAAATTGAATAATTTGTGTCCTGACAATCATTAAGTTCTCAGAGGGTAGACTGGTTCCTGCCCCATATTAAAATTGATAATGCAGACACAAGGAAACCAGACTACTCACAGTACAGATCTGTTTGTACACTGCAGCAACCAAAATATTTTTTTTCTGAGGGTTGCATATACGCTCAAAGAAGCTATAAAACTGAGATCAGATACGGTACAGGCCATTTGGCGCCGTTCCAGCAAAACCGCAAACCAACCCAATCTCAGATATTATGGAATCTTAGCTTCCGCCAAGTCCCACCTTGGCGGCGAATCATTAAAAATCAACAAACAAGACACGTCGAGATTTCACATTTCACATAAGTCCGCCGGAGGGTAGGAGCAGAATTAACGTGGTGCTTGGGCACCGACACAACAGGGTACCACATTCACAGATGCACGTACAAGTCAGGTTCCACGCTAGACTAACATACAGTCACAGTGCACAGAACTTTTGTCTGTTGATAGAGAAATAAATGTATCCCCCCCCCCTTTTTAATATTAAAGAGGGCATTGATTTTCAAAGCAATTTCTCATGTTTCTTCTACAAAAACCTAATTTTTTTAGGGGACAACTGAATAAAATTAAATTTAAATGCAATTCTTAGGAGAGAGAGCAAAAATAATAGCAAAAAGTAAATTAAAATACACACAAAATTAAAAAGGGGGGGGGTAACTTTTTTTCTCTATCAACAGACACAAGTTCTGTGCACTGTGACTGTATGTTAGTCTAGCTGAAAGAGAATCTCAGACAATTCTGCAAAAATAGTGGCAAAAAGTAAATCAAAACCCAAAAAAATATTTTTAAAAACTGGGGAAAGTGGTTTATGAAGACGATCACTGGCATGAAGTCACAATTCAAAAAGCAGTCTCTGCTGGCATCAAACAGGCTCCGACAAATTGAAAAATATTTTCAGCTGATCTCATTCCTTGGTTCAATTCCTTTACCAGTCAATGATGATAAAGATCCGGTACGGCACATAAACACCCAACCCACGTCACACCCTAGAAAACTAGTTCAGAGTTTCTGGGAATGCATTGAGAAGTTAGAATACCGCATCCCCCGCTGGCGAAGACGATGTGATGTCAGCGATTAGGCAGAATGACGTCACAGAGAAACGACGGTGTGACGATGATAGATAGATGGATCTTTACCAAGTACCACACAAGATTGACCGGTTATCGAGAAGACATTCAAGCAAGCAGAACAGCTTTGGTGGCATGTTAAGGATACCGATTTCCATTTAATTCTCTGATCTGTGAAATGACTGGAATTCTTTAGGAATGCTTGCGGTAATGAGCTGTCAAGATGACTACGACCGCCAACAACCTTCATCCAGTTTGGCAATTCACAAACATTACACATTAATTGACGCGCATCCTTTCTTCTGTCTGTTATCCCCATCATCTGCCACCCAGTACTACAGTTCATCGAAAAATGGTTTTCGGTTAGAATTTCCACTTAAGCTTCTTTTATCAAATGTTTTCATACAATTTACTGAACTTCACTTCCTTGAGACGGACAAAGCATACTGTTTGAGTTAACTGGGTCTTTTTAGTTACATTAATTCAAATAAATGTTCTTGATTGGTATGTACTTCACTGTGCTGAAACATATTTTGAGATTAAATGAACAAAAAATGAAAACTATATTCCGGTCAAAAATATTTCTTGAATACAATTTTTTTCCTAACTCCATCCATTCTCATGATGATATGTCTGTTTCTTGCTCTATGGTTGATCCAGGTATGTTCTTTTCTGTTGTGACATGACAAAGCAAGGGTGGGACATTCCTGAGGCGTACTGTCCAATGAAGCATACATGATTTGACCAAGTGGCGGAAAGAAATGCCCTGCGCTGGTCCAAACATCCTCCACTTCCCCGAAAAAGTCCCCTGCGGAGTCCGACAAGGGCTGGAAGGAATTACCAACTGGCAACAAGACCTTGGACTGGTCTTGAGTTGCTTTGATCATAGAGCAAGGCCCTTGTTGCTGGTTTCAGTTTGGACATTCTGTAGGTTTCCTTCCGAGAAGCCTGCAGATTAGGACAAATTCTTTTTGAGGGCTAGGGCCCAATTTCAGGAGCTGCTGAGCCAAAATACGCTACATAAAATGTACGCACTGAGCAAAAACAAACGGACAAAACAATAACCCAACAAGGGTGACAAAAGGAATGCCTCTGCCACAGTTCATTTGATTTGCTTGTGATTGACTTCTAGGGACCTGTGAGATCTTGTGTGATAGACTGACTATATCATTGCTAAACACTGTGGGGAAAAAACTCCATCAAAACCTGTCCTAAACACTGCGGAATGTGTGACATAGTTCTATAGATAGCAGACTCTCCTACATCAGACAGGATTTTTATCTTCCCAGACACAAACAGAGCCTGTTTATGCCCTGGGCTCTACACTTCTATGGTGTAAACTTCTCACTCACATGAGAAGTGTTTGACACCTCAGGACAACATATCTAGGTGACTCCTTTGAATGTTGAAAAACATCAGTGTTTGCAAGCATTGCCCAAACTTTCTAAATATCTTAGGGGAATGGGAATTTTGCAAGGAACTCATGGGTTTGAAAATCTAACTCGCACAGTGTTTTTTGGTGGAGCGGAGTGAAGAAATTGCAGTAAAGTATACTGCTCAGGAACACAATTTGACAAATTTGAATAAGTCTGACCTTGTGATAAGCACAGCATTATCATGCTTCTGGATGTTGCCGTCTTTCTCAGATGAAATGTTCTCCGGCGATCGTAGGTTCCTCTGCCACTGACAAAAACTCTGCAAGGACATATCAGCATGGTGCCCCAGGGCCAGATCTTTCTGAGTGCCAAAAGAATAACACAAGGTACTAGACTTAGATGAAGACATATCACGTTGAGAGGGGGGGGAGAGAGACAATGTTTTCTTCAAAACGGTATGTCCAACAAATCCTCTCCCTCCCCAAAAATGTATGCATTTATGACTGACTACCCCTGCATCAAACCCCCCTTCTCCAACACCCCCCCCCCTCCCTCATCCCCAATCCCCCCCCCCCCTCCCTAGGGTTCACTTGTTCCACTCACCTGATCTTGTAAGACCAGAATAATCCGAGAGATCACGATGTTGATGTTATTCCCCACGCTCGCGTCATGGTACAGATCAGCAACCTAGCCTCCATAGAAGAGATAAAAAACTAGCGGTCAATAATGGAAACTATCGACTGATCTAGGGGTCAATAATAAAAACTATGGACCAGAATAATCCTAGAGATGGCAATGTTGATGATATTCCCCACGCTAGCATCATGGTACAGATCAGCAACCTAGCCTTCATGAAAGAGATAAGAAAACTTGGGGTCAATAGTAGGGGTCAATGATAGAAACTATTGACTGATCTTGAGGTCAATAATAGAAACTACTGACCGATCACTGAGCATTGTTAAGGTAAATGACAGGCTCACTGCTTTCTTGATAACAGAGCAGTGAAAGAGAAACAGGGAGGCTTTTATTAAGAAGTACAAAAGTAAAAGCCAAATTGTCTACAATGTATTTCTGTCTCTTTCTTAATTCTGACCCAGTTACAAAAGTTCAACTAGGTGATGATTCAACATTCAGGAAACAAGCGTGTTATTCAATCACTTTCAAAGTACAAGTAATTGATGGGCAGGGAACTTTCCACTTAGTAAAATAAAATCACATTAAATAAAAAGTGCTTTCAACCATGTGGCTGACCAAACAATGAATAAAAATATATTACAAATTGGGAGCGCAACATGGATGAGATTATTTAGGAGAACATGAGCCAAATTGATTGTGTCATTTATGGACTAACAACAAGTGAGTTTGTTTTTAGAAGTACATTGTGAGGCCATTATGCAGTCTGTTGCGCAGTGTAATATTATCAAGGTCAAGGTTGGGTTGTATACAGACCAGACAGTTTTTTGGATGTGTTCATGGGCATTGTCATCTTCACCTGGCTACTGTAAACAGTAGCCCTGGGAAGCAAGTCAAAAACACCTTTAAAACTTCATCCATATAAATCATAAATCAAATCACTTTTCTTTTTACTTCGTCATTTTGAACTTGGTTTTGTTTTGTTCTATTGAGACGATGGGTCTTGAGACAACTACGAAGAGACGGGAAAATATAAGGAAATGAAATTGGATCCCTACCAACAATAAACAAAATAGTTGTGAAATCACGGAGGTTAAGATGGGTAAGTCAAAGAGAAACTTGCATTTTTTTTCATATGCTGCATTTGTCTTCAATCACTCGAACAGTTTGGGATCTTTTTTTGATCCACCCTATAATTCCCCGCTACATCACTTTGGGTCAATGATATCTGTTTTTTTCACTCTGAATTGTGACGTTCCAAAATCGTTCAAAAGCTAAGAATGAAAATGGAAATCAAGTAACTAGGCATTCTCTCCTGAAAATGGTGTCAAGCTGTTGAGAAGTAGGCTGTGAGGGTTTTTGAGAAGCGGCATGATGACGTAGCTGAAACGCCCGGCTTTCACAGAAATGCTCTTCAGATCGTTAGGAAGGGAGTTTTGGAGTGGCATAGGCCAGGAATGTTTGGCTAAACTTTGACAATACTGCTACATTGAATAACAACTGTTGATGGTCATCTAGGATGCTGTATCATGATGGAGGAATAAGTAGCTGTATTGGGCATTTCATTTGTTTGCATGAGCAAAGCCCCAGGAATTCTGTTGACAAGGATATAATAGCTCGCTGTGCTTTTGTCCTTGAGAAAAAAACTGGTCAGAGGAGGTAGGAGTACAGTCAAAAAGCTTGGCATTGAGACCCCAAAAAAGTTTAAACCAATGACATTTGATCATTTTGAAATGGTGAATTTTTTTTACCCAAAGAAAGACATTGTGAACATCTTGAGATACTTTGACAGTTTAAATTTTTGTAAGTGAAGCCGTCTTTGAAATGTTGGCACGTAATCTTTGAAGTGGGCAATGCGTCTGGTTGGCTGGTGGAGGGAAAACTTGCATTGAGAACCAACATTTGCAGATTAAAATCTCAATATTTCAAGTGACTTTGAGGTTCTTAACTCATTCTCATTGTTTTCCAGTTGGTGAGTGTTCCTGTTTATGTAAACACTATTCACTCTGACATTCATATTAATGGCACATCAAGCATTGTCAGGTGGTTGAAACAATGGGGATATGTCTGAAACAATGGGGACATGTCAGCCACTTGACACTAAATGTGTTAACCGGTCAAGTGGAACTTTAAGAGCTTGGGTGTCAGGTGCAATGTTGGTGCTTCAATAAGTGGACATCTAACCAATTGAAGGTACACAGTGGATAAACACTCCACATACCTGTCCAACTTTGCTTTTGTTTTGAATTTGTCAAATATTTTCTCATCTGTTTTTCTGTAATTTGAGAGACGATATTGCTATCCCCTCAAAAAGATTCATTACTACCTCAAAAAGGGAAAAACAATTTTCAAATAATGCAGGTAAATTTTTCATTGGTCCGTTACCAAAAAGAATTATTTCCTCATAAATTTCAGTCGAGAATTCCATGCATTTTGGTTATTAAAGACTTCAGAAACAGTTTCAAACCACCAACACAGCTACAGGCCACAATAGTTGGCACACTTTACAAAGCAAAACTGAACTCTAAGCTAACCCAGGATGCAGGGATAAGAGACAAAACTTGGCCATTATGAAAAAGAGTGACATTTACAGCAGTAAACTTAGCCTCGTCTTTGACGCAGCCTGACTAGAAAATAGGTCAGGGATATTGAAATATCTACACTAAGCCCGTAGGCTCTGGAAGTTGGCATTATTGCTGTATCTGATGCAGACTGCAGGAAAATGCGGAGGAAAGCCGATGTGAACTTTGGCAAAACCACATTTCAAACTTTTTTATCACGTTTAAACTGCTAATGAATGGAAGTGGGGCAGGCACAATTTTACGTCTGCGTTTACTTTGCAGTGCACAAACTGGAGTGAAATTTGAAAGGGTATTTTTAGATTCCAGCCTCCCACATCGGCAAAAAATGGTTTCTCTTTGGTTGAGGTTTTTGGTGGTATGGTGGTATTATGTGAAAAATAATAACTTTTGTATGTGTGGTTCTGAAGTGAAGTAGTTCTTTTAGATACAGTGATACCGCAAACCTCAAGCTATTGTAACCATCCAACAACTCTTATGCAAATTTGGAAATTTCAAAAGAAAGTTCCCACCTGGGTGGTATAGGCATCCTACCCATGTCAACAAGGGTCTTTTTATGAATTAGCGGTCCTTTTTCATCCTGTCCCTGTTACATCTGACATTTATGATTTTATAATTCTGAATGGGCTTCTTAATGCAGTCATGTTCCAATTGTGATTATGAATACAAAACTAGCTGCCTACCGGTCACATACAAAAAATCGTTTGAATGATACTTGAATGGCGAATTACAAAGTTCCAAGGTACATGTAACAAAGACAGGAAAAATGTCACACTTTGGACCCTATACAGCCTGTCTCCAAAAAAAATGATTCAGAAAAAAAATTGGTTAAATATGAAATTTCAAAATAAGTTATTCTTACTTGGCATAATATTAAAGAACAAAGACTGGGCTTTCCAATAGTGTTTGTTTGATCTTATTTGCTTTTGTCAATTCAGAGATATAATCAATTTAGTGCGATACACCAAAATCGATTTTGTGCCACTTTTATGCATGGGCAGAGTTGTTTCGAGTACTGTGCCATGCTGTCTTGAAGCTCACAAAAGATTGCAACTTGGCAAAAGAAACAAACTCGATTTTTGTGTTCCGCAGTAAACTGGAGTTACCGTATCTCTGGATTGACAAAAGCAAATGAGATGAAACAAAAAGTATTGGAAAGCCTGGTCTTTTTCTTTAATGTGATGCTCAAAACGACTTACTTATGTTGAGATTTAATATTGAAAAAAAAAATTGGTTTCGATTGTACTATTTTTTTTTAGACAGGCTGTACTTGTAGAATTACCCATATTGGGTTTTAAGTCCCTGCCTGATTCTGTGGGTTTCTCCAAAAAATCTGTTGGGGTTTCTTTCTACTTCTAAAACTGAATATTTTGATTACAGCTTCTCTCTTCAGCTGTCTTCTGGGTTCCTCACTACAAAGCCTGCACACTTACTGCAGAACAATCAAGTTTAATTTCAAGAAATAAATCAATAAAACAAACTTCCAAGTCATGATGGGCTGTGTTAAGACAATATTGGGATGGTACAAGTGCAAGGCTGTGTCTGAATGGCTACGGCTACGGCTTGCAATTACACACATGCCTATGAAAGCAGCTGCAACCACTTCCCATAGACACTGCGTTACTGCTAGCCGTAGCCATAGCCAGTATACTGGCCTGACGTTCTGTGAATCATGCATTAACTGTTGCTAAATATAACTTGTGATTTGTGGAATTGTTCCGGGTGAACATGAATGGGAGTAACACTTCTCCATTAGTCGGCTCAACAATCAGCATCCAGTAATGATGACTTAGCAAGTATCCTAGAACCTATCACCTATAAGTCTGTCAACTTGGAGCGGCCTACACCAAGTTGTAGTTTCGAGATCTCGAACGCTGACAAGTCCAACAATGGGCGGATACTAGCCGCATTCCCCATGTGTGTTCCGCGGATGGAACGCTCATAATCTTAAGGGCGCATTTATGTTGTGGGTGTGGAAAATCTGGGGCAAGGTTAACTTGTTTTATGCATCAGGGGCCTCAATCGTGAGACTGTATACCCACATGCTACTGGGTGGCTCTGTGGTCGATGCATTTGGGAGTCGTTCTCATATTTTGGGAGCGGTGCTTCTTAGAAGGTTGATTTAGATCTCAGTGTAACGCCACTCTTTCAAATTGGCGGTTTTGAGGATCATTCAGCACAAAATTTAATAATTTTGGGGTTAACCTGGATCTGATCTTCACCAAAGTAGGGTAGCACTACTTCTTTAGAGGGTGAAAAGTATTTTAGGACTAATATTTCAATCGGTTTGAAAATGTCAGAATATCTTAGAGAACGTTTTGTCCACCAAGTCTTAGAAAAGGTATCCAATTTCACCACTAGATATTAGGTAAAGTCTCTGAGGATCACACTCAGCCAAAATAGAAGCAAAGAAAACTTCAGAAGTCAACAATTACAGTATCATTGTGACAGTTGCTATTTCTGTATCAAATTTGCTTCACTCTAAATTTTACCTTAAGTAGGAGCCAGCTTTAAAAAGCGGCAGTCATTAGCATCCCAATAAAACCTTGAAATTCAACTTATTTTCAGCTTCCTCTGACAATACAGCAGAAATATGCCCATCCTCCCAAACTTACAATATTCATGAGTGTGAGGAGATAAGACTCGATGTAGTCGTCATGGTAACTGTTCATGAGTTTATCGGCCACCACTAAGGTCTCGACGTTGAGTTCTGATGACATGCTGCTGACTTCACGTCTTCTCCGCCTCCTCTTGTGGTGATGCTGATGGTGATGCTGAGGGTGACGGTGGTGATGATTGTGGTGAGGGTGTTTCTTCATCACTTGCTCCGCAAAGGAAAAGTCACTGTTGGTCATCCACCACGTTTTTTTAACTTCATCAGAATCTAAGTAAGAAATAAGAAAGAAACATTTAGATAATAACTGACTTGACAGAATAGCTACGCATCTTCAATATATACTATTTGAATGTCTTTCAACACAGTAGCATACATGTTAGTAAACCTCCCACTTGTCATCACATTGATGAGTCACACATTTAAGAATCATGTTGAACAGTTGCTTTCCTTAAGTCCCATGTGATTTCATGAATTAATCAAGAAAGTACAAGTGTTGCCCCGCCTTAAGGCAAGTGACAACATCAGTGACATGGGTCTCAAAACACAAAGAGCAACACATACAAGCCCCTTTAAAGACGGTTGATTGTATAATTCGGAAAAGGACAATTTTTTACTTCCGATGACCCTCCTTCACCTGGGTCGAGATTCTCAACCTTCATTGTCTTGCAATTCCCTCCTTTTTTTAGGGTAAAACAGGGGGCAGACCGTAGAGTTTTTCTTGTTCTGTGTGAGTCATTCTGATGCTAGACTTGTGGATTATGGCACAGGAAGTCTCCTGGCTGAAGGTCGCAAGACAAATTTAGAAATGGTCATAAAACTCGGCAGCTCAAAATGAAATCAAAAAGTCAGTGACTGGGATGTAATTTTTAAAGTATATTAAAGGGGCTCTCTTATCTCAGATCTATCAAAAGGAATCCAGAATTGAGAACAGCGCCCTCGGGGAAGCTTCTTGTGCAACTCTTGGAAGTGAACGGCAGTCAAAATTTGAAGATGATTCATGTGAGTGACTTGATGGGATGAGTGATGACATCACTGCAGGATTACATGTTGACAAGTGTTTATAAACTACCCACAAGCTTGCTCTTGTGTCAAACTTCCCAGTACTTTTTGTTCTGCTCTATAAAAAAAATAACCATTTGGTACATCGTTATTGGAAGGAATCCAAGAATTGCTAGAACTAGGCTTGAAAGTCTCATTCCAGATTTATTAATAAAACATCCTACGCCAAAAACACCTGTTTAATTAACTCGTTAATTTACTGTATGCTCTTCTCCAATCCGCGCTGATTCCAACTCAAAGCTGCAACGAAGCCCAATAACCTTCAACAAGGGTCACAATGACATTAACAAAGCATTAACAATGAAACTTTACACATCCACAAGATTAAGTGACATTTCCTCTGACCTTTTTAGATGCACTGCGCTCCTAAGATAGAAATTCTGTCATGTTGTATACTGAATGTCACTACAGTAACAATGTTTTGGCCATGTAACACAAATGCTGTATAAGAATTTACAGGGCTCCCCAAAATAGAGGACAGATTTGCCAAGTTTCTGTCAGGTATTCACGACTAAGGTGGCCTGTGTTGGACCACAAACCACATGTATCCTAAATATTTACAAACTTTCCAGTTAAAACCTACAAAGTAACTTTTCATCGCCAGGGCACAGTACCAAAAATAGAGTGAACTTTTCAACACTCCCTGAAGAAAAAAACCTGACTGAGCGTTATTTGATTAACCCCATAGAGGCTGCCCATAAAAAGAAACTAAAAAGAACCAGTATTAAAGCAAACTTCCTGTACAGATTACCGCTCACCTAGATTCTAATTCTATCGCCAAACCCAGGACTGTATGTCCCTATTTCTTTTTATTATGACAGTTTAACAAATGAAGCTTTGATGAGAGGATTTCTAGCACAAATTACGGTCCTGTTATGAAGGGGAAGGGGTGGCATGGCATGGTTTGTGTTGAACTCTCGTGACCTCAACAGGTGCCAAAGCCTTTTAACTTCGCATCAAGTTTTTTTGTAAGGAGAAATTCTGCATATCACAGACAGGTGAACCATTCATTCATGCCAGTAATCGTTGGTGGGTTGTGGGTATAACGATAGCTTTTATCCTGTTAAACAGTCTCAATGGAACTTTAAGGCTGGTACGTGTTGGGCTGGTATCAACACATCAATCTTACTTTTTCTCTTTTCAACTGCGAGTCACACTGGAGCAAAATCGATCATACTGCAATCCAGGTACATGAACTATTACGCCTACTCCATACAATTAAGGACTACTGGCATAGTACATGTATGTATGCTGCACGGACAAGATGTTCAACTTGAGCTCTTGCTACAGTAATTTGGGGAGGGTGTACTGTTTTGATCCTTATTAAAATCTGTCTCAACAGTGGAAGACTGTTGTAGAAACAGTTGGTTGAAATGCCTACCCCAGCAATGAGAGTGAATCTTCTACGATTGAAAACATGCGGTTTCCAGATCATCACATGTGGCAGACAGCTTCCAGCTGTCTGCTTAGTCCATCGTATTTCCTGTATCCTTCACAAATTGTGCCATTCTTACAATTCTATCAACTGTATAATGTTTTACACACACAATGTACTAAGAACAGTTTCCCACATGAACCAGATGAACATCTGTGTCTGGGTTGCAAGGCTTGTAACTATCTGTAGGGAATGTGACTGAAAAAACTGAGACTGAAGTAAAGAGGTGTAAGTTTTGTAAGTTTCTCAGTAATACTCTGGTTACTGAAAGGCCGGTGTTGTTTCTTTTTGCAGTTTCTCTCACTTAACCCATTAGCACCTGTACCACATTGCATTACATTGTATTACATTGTATTACATTGTACTACATTGTATTACATTGTACTACATTGTACTACATTGTATTTATTCCCTAATGAATGTATACAACCATACAGTGCTAGGCAGTTTTGGGTGCTACAGGGAGTAACAGGCAGGGCATTCCGGACATTTCAAGGAGTAGAGATGGGGCGGTTTTGGGCAGTACAGGGACTTAATAGGTTAATGTTTCAATGTGGTACACAACATCGTTTTTAATGTTTTACACCTGTTTCCATCCATTAGATCCTCAAGTTTGTACTTTTCTACCTCACCTAGATGTCAACCATCCTTGCTCCTACCTTAGCGATATCTGCCAACTGCCTCTCATAAACCATTAACCCAGATTTCAGCATTTTAAAACACATTTTCAGACCCTTGAATGTTGGGCTCTTAAAATTCCCAAACCTCCTTGGCCTAGTTTGCCGGCTGTCAACTAGAAATGACTGCTGGATGTTGGAGACTGATTTTCCCTGCATTCTGAGAGCTTGTTGCTTCATATGGAAGCTGTTTATTTTCTCGTCTGTGATGTCTGAGGGCTGCTTTTGAGTTGTCATGGATATCAGAGGTGAACGAAATTGTTGAGTTGTCAGGAAATGTCTGACAAACGTTGTCAAAATAGCATTCAATGGTGGGAAAAAGTATTTTCCTCACTTTTCTTGTAAGTTAAGTAGCCTAATCTTTGCTTACAGTGAAATTTAGTTGATAACATCAAAGGAAACAACAGAGCCTCAAAGTCGAGCTTTATTTGAGGGAAAGGCTCTTCTTTCATCAAAAATTTAAACAACTTATAGATCTTCTGTTGCAGAGGAGATCAATCTGAAATGACAGAATTCAATAAATGAGTCCACAGAATTGTAAAACTCGCAAGATGACTTTAATCTACACCCCCTAAAACAGGTGCAACATGTGACATGCCCTGACAGTGCTACTCTAACACCTTCCACAGGTGCAAAAGGGTCAAAACGGCTGGAATGTGACGAGACTCAAACATTTCAAATGTTCCCAGTCCCAGACACAATATTTACAAGTTGAACTGATGTGCCCTGGTGTGTGTGAAAGAGTGCGAAAGGGGCAGGTTGGCCAATGTTATGGATCAAGTCAGATTTCTACTGGGCAGGCCTAGATGTGTGGAGTCTGTGATGGCCGCGATTTCAGGCCAATGACTGACTTGAAACAGTGGACTTTTGACTTCTCGATGACACAAGAAGTGTAGGAATGCAAACCCCAAGGGATTCCAAAAGTGCATTTCAAGTTAAAAAGCACTGCCAGACGGACAGACAAACACACAGTTGGAATATAAGTGGTTGGTAAAACTATGCCCTAGCTTGATAGAACTTTTCAACTGCGCATGCGCACAATGATACTAGGTCACGGGTAATTCGGAAAAATCAAACGCTCATCGAAGGTGCACAAACACACAGAAAGACGAGCGCACGACGCTCACCAGTTAATTACAAGCAGAATGGGTGTTCCGGTAACATCGCGTAACATCATGTCAGCAATTTTATCCTGAATGACCTTTGACCTGGACTACTTCATAGGACGCCATCTTCACAGGAAAACTACAACTGCGTATTCAACACCATCAGGTGCGTGTGAGCGCAGTGTGCAAAATGTTCTAAACAGGTGTGTGTGTTGCTCAAAATTTCTTCTAAACACAACATAGCCGATGCGCGTCACGAAAATTTTACTCCCAAAATGATGATGCACATGCCAATCTGTAGGAAGTGATGTCATTTGAGAAAGACCAATGCATTACATGCTACATGACAATGGTTTATAGTTGACACATCTTCACTGTCGATATCTTCACTAAACTGTAGTTGATAATTTGATGAAATTGATACAATGGATAATTTTTATCTGAATGAACTTAAACTCATAGTGTCTTCCAGTGAGTGCCAGAAGTACGGCAGCAATGCGTTCAAGAGTGCCACACAAAGCCCATAGTCCTATGGCCTATCTAATGAAAGTCTGCACATTCGTGTCTCACTTGACAAAGCATACAATCGGATGTCTTCCCGAGGTCACACCAATCAAGCATAAATGACCGGACAATCCAATTACAACCCACCACAACTTCCGTGACCGCAACATTAATTAACGCTGATTGTTTTTAATCTCAAGGAAATTGGCATTCCGGGGTTCGGGCTCTGCGGTTCATTCCGATCATTCACATCGTGATGGGGCATGCAGGAACTATGAGAGAGTCATTATCAGACATCCATGTTGCGCTGGAAAACTCACCAAACACGCAATTCAAACTCGATCGGTATTCGGTTGGCATTTGGTAATTTTCAAGCTTGTACATTAGCAAACATTTTTCTGCTCAAGTCAGAGAGCGGTAATTGTCTCAATCACAATCATCTTGCTAGTATTTCAATTAATGGGTCTTAACAAATTACCCACATCC